AACTGAATGCAATGATGTGGAGGTGCCAACATCTAACATTGTATTCAGAATAGAACTCAAATCACAGATCAAAAGTTTAAACTGAGAGAATGAATCATTTTAAGGGAAAAATCTGTTGTTTCCAAATTTCATGTCGTCAACAAATCCCAAAAAAGTTGGGACAAGTCCATTTTTACTACTGTGTGGCACCCCCCCCCCCCCCCCCCTCCTACCACCCTCAACAGACGCCCGGGGACAGAGGAGACCAGTTTCTCAAGTTTAGAAATAGGAATGCTCTCCCATTCATGTCTAATACAGGCCTCTAACTGTTCAATCGTCTTGGGCCTTCTTTGTCACACCTTCCTCTTTATGATGCGCCAAATGTTCTCTATAGGTGAAAGATCTGGACTGCAGGCTGGCCATTTCAGTACCCGGATCCTTCTCCTACGTAGCCATGATGTTGTGATTGATGCAGAATGTGGTCTGCCATTATCGTTTTGAAAAATGCAGGGTCTTCCCTGAAAGAGATGATGTCTAGATGGGAGCATATGTTGTTCTAGAACCTGAACATAGTTCTCTGCATTAATGGTGCCTTTCCAGACATGAAAGCTGCCCATGCCACAAGCGCTTATGCAACCCCATACCATCAGTGATGCAGGCTTCTGAACGGAGCGTTGATAACAACTTGGGCTATCCTTGTCCTCTCTGGTCCGGATGACACGGCGTCCCAGTGTTCCATAAAGAACTTCAAATCGTGACTCATCTGACCACAGAACAGCCTTCCATTTTGCCGCACTCCATTTTAAATGACCCCTGGCCCAGTGCAAACGTCTGAGCTTGTGGAGCTTGTTAGAAATGGCTTCCTCTTTGCACTGTAGAGTTTCAGCTGGCAACGGCAGATGGCACGGTGGATTGTGTTCACTGACAATGCTTTCTGGAAGTATTCCTGAGCCCATTCTGTTATTTCCTTGACAGTGGCATTCCTGTTTGAGGTGCAGTGACATTTAAGGGCCCGAGATCACGAGCATCCAGTAGAGTTTTACGGCCTTGACCCTTACGCACAGCGATTGTTCCAGATTCTCTGAATCTTTTGATGATGTTATGCATGGTTGATGATGATAACTTAAGTCTTTGCTATATTACGCTGGGTAACACCATTCTGGTATTGTTGCACTATCTTTCTGCGCAACAATGGTGGAATTGGTGATCCTCTTACCATCTTGGCTTCTGAGAGACACTGACACTCTGAGAAGCTCTTTTTATACCCAATCATGTTGTCAATTTACCTAATTAGTGTTAATTGGTCTTCTAGCTGTTCGTTATATGCTCTATTTCCTTTTTCCAGCCACTTATCTGTAATGAGTATCTTGATGAGATAGAAAGGTGCTATACAAGTACAGTTCATTTAAATGGTAAATGGACTGTACTTATATAGCACCTTTCTATCTCATCAAGATACCAAAGGCTTTATACAATTACAGTCCATTTAAACTGCTGGTGGATTTAAACCCCCAACTCTTGCATTGGAAGATGATTGCTCTAACCACTCAGCCACAGCTGCCCTCTTACATTTACATAGCTTTATCCCACTTTTAGCTACCTAGTTTGTTTTAGCTACAGCTGTGTTCTTTCTAGCCAGTCATTTATTTGCACCTTTAGCTACTGTGTTGCTTTTTTTTAACCTTTTGGCTACTGTGTAGCTATTAGTAAGCCATTTACTATTTTTAGCTTTAAATTACTCTTACTGCTTTCAGCTAGTTTTTCTACTTTATCTTGCAGTTTTAATGCCAGGTTTCAAAATAAAGGTTTAGGTTTCTTTGACAAAATGCATATCACCCCGAGTTTTAATCTGAGATAAATTTAATCTGTAAAGGACGTTGTGCCATCTGCCGCATTCGCGTTTCAGCATAAATTAAATTATTGTCTCAACTATAAATAAAGACATTAAAAAATCTGTTTGAATAATCAACGTTTATTCTTTGAGTGGACAGTTGCACAAATTAAACTCCATGATTTAAAACACATGAAAGATTTTACTTAAGAAATCACCTGCAGGTTCACAGACCGACCTGAATGAAGACTTCAGTCAAATAATCTGAGATTTAAAATGAAAACCTTCTAGAATCAGCAGGGTCTCTAACATGTAGTGAACTAAGCTTCAGGTCAAAATCTGGCCTTGAGGGCCTGCCTGGAACAAGAACTGTATTTCATTGATTTGAGTCCAAAAACACAAGATTAAGTTCATCCAGAGACTTTTTAAGTGTCCTACACTGATCAATTGAAAGAACACTCTCTTTTCTATCATCATTACTATTTTACAAATGTTTTGATAATCAAAGTGTGTTTAGTTCAAACCATTTTCAAATGTTGAAGTGAACTACTCATTTTTAAATCCGCTGTGAAACAGTATTAGTGATTTTTAATCCTCATTCAAAGTAGAAATCAAATTGGAATGTGTTACGGAGTAATTCATGCATTTTCTGATCTTCTGTCTGAAATGAGCAAATTGTGAAGTTGGTCAAAGGTCGAAAACAAGTTTTTGGAACGAACTGTCATGTTTTTAAATTCTCTCAGACGTAATATAGAGAAGCTGGCACCTTGTTTTCACCCAACTCGTCCAAACATTTCTCTCGTCTGTCTCTAAAACATTTTCAATCTGTTCCAAAACATTTTCTGTTTTTCTGACTTCTAGTGACCTCTTACGTCACAAAAACACACCCGTCTGGTCGATTTGACCAATCAGGAACCTCCCAAATGAACCGGAAATAAAACTCTTTAAATGTCGGTACTTCCTAGTTCAAACCAGCTTCAGTCGAGACCAGTCGAGTTGCGGTCGAGCCCGGTCGAGTTCGGTTCGGAGAGCTAGCCGAACTGAGAAGTGCTGGAGAGAACAGGAGTTCAGACATGATCCGGAGCTCTTCCGAGTCTTGTGGGAATTATGCAATCTTCCACATCTGAGTGGAACTTCTGAAGGACTCCACTCATGTGAGTCCACTCGTGAGGTGAACTGTTGTTGATGAAGTCCCGCCACCACTCCGGACGGTTCTCTGCCATCCTACGGAGACGCTGGACCGGTAGCGTTAACTGGAACTCCGTATCCGCTGATTCATCGTCAGAGAGGTAATGAGTCGAGTTTACTATCGAGCGTACCGAGGAAAGCTGGGTTCGAATGGAGGGTGCCGTTCTGTTCAACACTCTCCCTCACACACCATCTCCCTCCCTCTAAACTTCATCTTTCCATCTTTAAACTCTTCTATCTGCTAGAAATCATTCCAGATATTTTTAGAAATGTCTGTTGTACAGCTGGAAGCAAGGAAAACCATCGCCGTATGGTTTTCTAATTGTAAACTGATTAATTAACCTGTTGCTATTTTCAATTTTGCCAAATTAATGTAAATGTTTGATGTTAAATTTTGATTCTGTTAATAAATGACCACGTTCATTTTGATGGGTCAAAGAAAATTAACGTCTCACGATACATTTCTTAAATTCAATGCACGATATTATTCAGTCCAGAAAAATGAATGAATCCGTTTAATTTATGAATATATCACAGAATATGTTCATCTACAAACACAAAAACTGTAAACAGAAAATGTTTTACTCACCTCAGTCAGAGATGAGATCTGTAATCTGTAAACCAGACCGCTGAGAGAAAGAACTGTATGGAATGCATCTGAGGCCAGAAATTAATCTGGAGACTAGAATAAAACCTCCAGAAAAAGAAAAACCAGCCAGGAGCCTGGAATAAATCTATTCCACTCAAGTCTACAAGTTCACGGAACATAACTTTTAACTGGTTCATGCTTTTATTTTGAAGAAGGAAAAACCCTGGGACCAACAAGTCCCATCTGAAGAGGTTCCACCTCAACAACCTGGACTCAAGACTCGGAGACAAATACCAGAGAAAACTATCACTAGAGGTTCACTGAAACCTTCAGTGGTCTACAAAATACCCTAAGAGATCCATGGAAATCATGTCTATGGGAGACCGTTAGACCCTCCTAAGCCTACAGGAGGCCCGCAGAGGTCCACAAGAGGCCTGCAGAGGTCCGCGAGAGGCATGCAGAGGTCCGAGGGAGACCTGCAGAGGTCCGAGGGAGGCCAAGAGGAGATGGTTGGTGGTTAGAATGTTCTGTACGTTTGTGGCATCAGTTAAAGAAGCTGAACCAACCTCCAGCAGCTGACACCAAAGTCCATGCTCAATAATCCAGGTATAAATCCAACAACATTCAGTCAGGTCATATGGACGGTTTCTTTTTTGTGCTGAGACGTTTCACCTTCCATCCAGAAGGCTTCATCAGTCTGAGGAAACACCAAACAAAACAGATTCTCCACCAACAGCTTATTCCAAAGTGGAAAAAAACAGTTGTGTTGGTGCTAAGATGGTCTCTGGGGGCCCTTTCCTCCAGTGCCCACCCTCTCTCTCTTCCATCCATCCATCCATTATCTTTTACCCGCTTCTTCCATTTTTTGGGTCACGGGGCTCGCCGGCGCCCATGTCCAGCAATCACTGTGTGAGGGGCAGGGTACACCCTGGACAGGTCGCAAGTCCATCACAGGAACACATAGAGACAAACAACCATTCATTCTCTCTCACTCACTTAGGGACAATGTAGAGTCACCAATCAGCCTAACATGCATGTCTGTGGGAGGAAACTGCAGTACCCAGAGAAAACCCACACATGCACGGAGAGAACATACAAACTCCACCCAGAAAGGCCCCCGGACCAGGATTTGAACCGGCAACCTTCTCGCTGAGAGGCAGCAGCTCTACCAGTCGCGCCACCGTGCTGCCACACCAAAGCCTATGCTCAGAAATCCAGGTATAGAATCCAGCAGCTGATTTTCACATTTTTGAAAAGGCAACATGAAAGACAAAAAAATGTTGTTATAAATTCTTATATTTAAAAAAAAAAAAAAAAAAAAGATAGATTTTACAAACATTTAAAAATATCAGATGTTAGAAAGTTTCTAAATCCAAGATTCTGCTGGTATTAGATCGGTCAGAACCTTTACACTTTAGGAACAGAGAAATTTATTAGGACCGACTGAAACAAACGACTGGTGAATACCGGATATTTTAACTAATCTAATGTCACTGAAGATGATTGTGGAGCTGTTGAGTCGTAAAGTGCAACGTGACCCTCGTGACCCGTGCTCTCGCTCCAGGACCAAAAACTGACACATTATCGGATCTTCCAGAAGGTGCGGTTCTGTTTGAGGAGCTTCACAGTTTGGACTTGGGACTTTGTTCCAGAACTCTCCTCATGTCCAGAAGGGCATCCTCCACTGCCTGAGCCAGGTCAACGGCATTTGTTTCTGAACACATGCTGAATGATGACACAGCAAAGTTGATGTGATCCTCCATGGGGTTGTAGCACACGCCGTACCCGTCCGGTACCACCGGGCCGAAACACATCACGCAGTCCGTCTTAGACGGGACCTTAGAGGAGGACAGAGAAATTTAGTTTATTGTGGCAGATTCCTAGCAGCTCCTCTCTTCCTACCTGCCATACCTGACTTGTAGACAGGTGATAGTGTAACGCCTTGGAGTAGGTGGGGTCTCTGAAAAGGGCAGGTACAGAAAGTTTCTCCTCCATGGCCTGCATCTTCAGACCCAGCAGGTGTCGGTCGATGGCCTGCCCACTGATGGCCTGCAGCAGCAACACAACCCCTGATCAATAAATCATAGGATCAAACGATCTCAGTCAGAACTTCCTGATTTAGGTTCTTCAGACAAAAATACATTTTATAAGGTTCTGTAATTCTGACTGGTGAATTCATTCATCTATAGATCACTGAAGGTATGTTCAGGTTTAAGGCAACCCCCTCAATAAGTCAGAACGTTGACCTACAAAAACACTATTTCCTTGTTTTTTGGAGGCTCTGCCCCCTTTTGGGTAAACACCAGAGTAAAACTATCACTGACAACTTGATCATATTTCCAACTTTATGACTTAATGTTCAGTGTTGTATTTTAACAGTAATGTTTATACACTGCCTGGCCAAAAAAAAGTTGCCACCTGGACTTAACTAATCAAATGGGTACGAGCCTCCTATGGGATAATTACTGCATGGGCGATTATCTTTAAGCTGGGAACAAGTTATTTAACCCCATCTGGTGCAATGAGTTGCTTCTCATTTCTTAAACAACCATGTCGAAAGACACATGGCGTGGTCGTGGAAAAGATGTCAGTCTGTTTGAGAAGGGTCAAATCATTGGCATGCATCAAGAAGAGAAAACATCTAACGAAATTGCAGAAACTACTAAAATTGGGATAAGAACTTTCCAACGCATTATTAAAAACTGGAAGGATAGTGGAGACCCATTGTCTTCGAGGAAGAAATGTGGCCGATAAAAATCCTGAATGATTGTGATCAGCGATAACTTAAACATTTGGTGAAATCAAATGGAAGAAAAACACTCAGGGCTATGTTTAATAGTGAAAATAAGAGCATTTCCACATGCACAATGTCATGCACAGGGAACTCAAGAGATTGGGACTGAACAGCTGTGTAGCCTTAAGAAAACCACTAATCAGTGAGGATAACCGGAAAAAAAAAGGCTTTTGCTAAGGAGCATAAAGATTGGACTCTGGAGCAACAGAAGAAGGTCATGTGGTCTGACGAGTCCAGATAGACCCTGTTCCAGAGTGATGGGTGCATCAGGGTAAGAAGAGAGGCAGGTGAAGTGATACACCAAAAAGGGGCAGAGCAGTTTTCTAAATGGTGCAAGCCATTAACTTAAAAAAGGGCGGGCGTTTACGTGCAACATGAATAAGGGGTGGGACATTGACTCCTAAAAGGGGTGGAGTATTGTTTTCTTAAAAGAGCCAGGCTTGGCTTTGTACACCAATTCAAAGAGGGGCAGGGTGTTTATTCATAAAAATGGGGGGGGGGGGGGGGGGAAAGAAACACTCCCAAAAAGGGGCATGGCATTGAATCCCATCATTAAAATGTCATCAAATAGCCTAAAGAGCAAGTTTAGGACTGCTTTGTGTTCCAAATGAAGATGGAAATACTTTGTTCTACATCGTTTCAGTTTATGGACCTTTAGAAAATAATCCAATTGTCAAATATTGTTCATCATTTGCCACAGAGTGTCTGATTGAGAAAACAAATTTTACCATTTATGATTTTTACAAGGTTTATCTTGTGAAAATTAACAAAACACAGATATAAAAGCAGTTTTTAATTTGATACATAAAAAGTACAAAAAGTTAAGACGGCCACATTCCTTCACTTTACAGGCTCGAAGCTGTGGTTTGGGGGAATGAACTGAGCTCAGCAGCAGAGAAGCATGAAATAAATATGTTTTTATTCCATAAAAACAGCCAGTCCCTGTTAAGCGTTTCAGTTTTTGTGGTTTTACCTGCTGGATTAGTTAAAAATGAGGGAAGATGAAATGTGTGGAGCTGAGGACACTCACTATGTTGGTGTACCATCGGTGAGCCTTCACAGCTTTCTCCATTAAATCCACCTTCTCCGAGTTCTGCACAGGACGCAAACAAACTGACCATCATCAACATAAATCCAAGATCAAGTTAAGATGTTTTACAGCATCGTTTCAGATGTGACCAGAGATGGGATCTGTTCAGTTTGGAGGTAAAATCGTGGCGGACCTGTTTATTCGGATCGTCGAAGGCCTTCACGAAGGCAGCCGAGGCGTTCGAGGCCGAGCGGATCGTGTCCGTACGACCCAGCCTGTACATCCGCAGGGAGGCGCTCTCATACGTGGCGCAGCAGCGCTGGTACTTCCTGCAGACACAAGACTGTAAGGGGAGGATCCCGCATACACCTTCTGATAAAAGTTACAGGTGATGTTTAGCAAACCAGCTCCTGCAGTTCTTCCTCCAAGCAGCAGGTGGAGACAAACCGAACAAGTGTGATCTTTATTTAATTTATTATACCATACCATACCAATTTATTTATAAAGCACTTTAAACAGTGACAAAGCACACCAAAGTGCTGTACAGGGACAAACAGAACAAGCACATAGCAACAGATTACATAACAGGACACCAAAAAGTTATATACATTATAACATTCATTTTTACATGCATCTTAAGTGTATAATAATTATCTTGAGACAATGTTTATACAAAGATGTAATTCCCACCCAACCCCCCCCCCCCCCACACACACACCATTCTGAGTATATTCAATATGACAACATTTCAACTCAAATTTTTAACTAGATGTCATTAAAGAGTAATATGACAATGCATAAGAACAGAACAAAAAACATATACAAGACGAATAGAAATAAATAAGTAAAACTAAAATATATAACAATTTAAAAAAAGTAATTTAAAATTAAATAAAAGAGGAAAAAAAAACCCCACTATTCTTCCTCATTGCTTCTCTCATCAAGGGGTATATGACGTGTCCTAAAATAATTCAGAAATGAGCTCCAGGTCACTGAGAATTGTTGTGTGGCTCCTTTTAGTGTATATCTAATCTTTTTTAATTTCAGAAAATACGTGCTGTCCATTATCCATTTGGTAAAACTGGGTGGGGATTGTTGCTTCCAGCATAGTAAGATGGCTCTTCTCGTTATAAGGGAAGTAAATGCAATCACTGATCTTGCTTGGTTTGATACAGAGTAGGTCGCCGGAGTAATTCCAAATATAGCACATAGAGGTTAGGTGTAATGGTTTTCTCAAAGATTTTGGAATATGCATCAAAGATATCAGACCAAAAGGTAGAAAGGGCAGGACAAGACCAAAACATATGCAGATGATCTGCCAGGCTGCCTTTACAATGAGGGCAAGAAGAGTCTGCATCAGGATATATATCAGCTAATCTTGCATTGGCGAGGTGAGCTCTTAAAACCACTTTCAGCTGTATCAGACAATGGCGTGCACATATTGTAGAGGTATGTATCCGCATTGTACAGCTCTTACAATGCTGTTATTGCCAATATGACTCAACCCCCTGTGAATAGTAAACAGCCATCAGTGTTCTAATGATCCATTGTTAGGCTGATGGTCCTTCTTGACCATGTGAGTAGCTGGTTTTGGTTGTCAGCAGCAAACTGGTTGATCCACTCTGAGAAGATGCTATTTAAGAGACTGAGCTGAATACAGAACTGTTGAGCTGAGCTCCAGGCCCCGCCCCCTCTGACTGAATGTTGGTTTGAGATGTCTCCCAGCTAGGAGGCAGCAGACTGTTTTGCTCCAGGTGTAGATGATGTGATGATCAAGAGTTTGAAGGTGTTCACTCACAGAGCAGCAAGAGGCAAATAATGAGGGAGAGAAATGCTGGAAGAATTTTACCTTGGGGAAAAGATACTGCAGGACTAAGGTTTGGTTCAAGAAAAAAAAGGAAGGAGGAGCCGGTGAGCTTTCAATTATATTGTCTTTGGAACTGTGGTCTATCATGTCAAGACAAATGATTACACTTAGGTTAAAAATATAAATTGTTAAAAGTCTTGTGATTTAAAATACAAGTTGCAAGTACTATATGTTTAAAGTACAGTTAAAATGTGTATTTTTAAAAGGTGTGGAAGCTAAAAGTAATTAGTTAAATGTGCTTTTGTGCACTGAAGGGAGTTTAGAGCTGCCAAAGTGCATGGCTAAAATGATCACTGAAGAATATTTAAAATATGTTGGATTGAATTTGGGTGTCATATGTGGATTTGTTGCACTTAATTTAAAGGTACTTCATTTAAAGGTTAAATTCTAGTTGTTTAAAATGATTTAATTTTGGGGTTACGTTAATTGATCTTGGCCTATTGGGTTACATTTTCTTGAACATGTTCTTGTTTGTGTTCTTAGGTTTTTCACCTGTTTTGACCTTGCAACTTTCAAAATTCAAGAGAGAAAAGAAAGAATTGATTATTGGTCATTGAGTGAAGTCCAGTCCAAAATCTTCTGAAGCAAGTTACCCTTTCAAGTGGGGGGAAACCACTTGACAAGCATCTCAGACTGAGGAAGTCTTTCGGATGAGAGACGAAACGTTTCTACATTGTTTTGCTTTGTTTTGTTTTTTTTTCTTTTGAATGTCCAGAGGACCAGAATGAACTTTTTTGGATTTTTCTACCGGAATTATTGAGCATGCATCAGGATAGTTTACTGGAACTCCTCTGACTGATGAAGCCCTCTGAATAGAGGGTGAAGCATCTCTATAAAAAGAAACTGTCCAGACAACCCGATTGAGAATTATTGGATTTGGTACCTGGATGATTGAGCATGGACTTTGTTGTCCACTACATAGTCATTGGACAGTTTGGAAAGGAGTTAAAAGATTTTCTGAACAAAGTTTTGGATTTGTAAATATCTAAAATAATTCGACTTTGGTAGATCAAATACTTGGCTTAATTTGGGAAAAGAGATGAAATGGTCTTCAGAGAACAAATTATAAACAAATTTAATGTCTTCTCATTCCAAGAGGAAAATGTAGAATCCAACAGGGCAGAGGGAAAGTTATGATTTCCCCAAATAGGAGCATAGACCGAGGTCATATTTAAGCCAAAGTGTCTTCTGAACTGCCTCCAGATTTGAATTGTTTCACCCACAATTAGGTTTAGTGATTGTACCGCCAAAGAACTTATAGCAGTTACTATTGAGCCTAGGTGTGTGTGGTTAGTGGCATATTCTACTGACACCCACACATCATCATAGTTTACAGCACCAGAATCAAAATGGACACAGTGAAGTATTTTTTTGTATGTTACAGGCCCAATAATAATAAAGTTGGGAAGTGCAAGTCCAGCAGTATTTTTAGGTCTTTGAGAGCTGCTTTCTTTATTTTATGAAAACTACCTTTCGTAATAAACAAGATTATAAGTTTATCAAGTGATTTAAAGAAGGATTTCCGAATAAAAATAGGAATGTTCTGGAAAAGATACAAAAATGTAGGCAACACATTAATTTTAACCACATTGACCTTGCCAGCTATGGATAAAGGAAAATCTTTCCACCGACCTAGATCTTTCGTAAAATTTTCTAGTAGAACTTTAAATTTTTTTGTAAAGAGTGAAGGCAAGCTGCGTGTCACTTCTACCCCAAGGTATTTAAAGGAGGCTTTGGCTATTTTAAGTGGAAAAAGTATACATAAAAGGTGAGCTATTTTTTTGTCTCAAAGGAAATTCAGACCCTTTGCAAAAAATTAGAATATCATGGAAACATTTAACTTCCATAATTCCATCCAAAAAGTTAATATTTAATAGATGATAGATTCAGGGCCCACAATTTAAACAATTTCAAATATTTATTTGTTTATTTGTACATAATTTGGGCTTCCAGCTCATGAAACCCATGAAAACAGGATTTCAAAAAATTAGAATACTGTGGAGAAATCAGCCCAAATGTTGCAGGGCATGAATATTTTAAACAGAGTGTGACACAGTAATCATCTACTAAACTCAAAGCACCTGCACAGGTTTCCCCAGGCATCATTAAATTGCTTCAGTTTGGTTCAATTGTCTCAGTTTGGTACAATATGGGGAAGACTGCAGACATAACAACTGGCCAGAAGACCATCATTGATACCCTCCATAGGATGGGTAAGCCACAAAAGTTCATAGCTAAGGAGGCTAGCTGTTCACAGAGTGCTGTGTCTAAGCATATCAATGGAAAGTCTAGTGGAAGGGCAAAATGTGGCAGGAGAAGATGCACCAGCAAAAGAGATGACTGTTGGCTTCAGCGGATTATCAAACAGAGAAGATTCCAGAATCTGGCAGAGATCCAGAAAGAGTGGAATGAGGCGGGAGTCGCAGCTTCAAAAACCACCACATTCAGACGCATCTGGGAGATGGGCTACAACTCTCGGGTTCCTCTGTCCTCTTTTCCGATGAAAGTAAAGTGTGCCTTTCATTCAGAAATCAAGGTCCAAGGGTTTGGAGGAAGAAGGGTGAGGAACAGAACCCATACTGCTTGAGGTCCAGTGTGAAATATCCACAGTCAGTCATGAGGTGCAATGTCCGGTGCAGGTGTTGGTAAACTTTGCTTTCTTAAATCTAATGTCACTGCAACAGTCTACCAGAATCCAACATTTTTCAGTCAGGTCATCTGGAGTTTCTTTTTTTGTTGTTGTGCTGAAATGTTTCGCCTTGGATCCGGAAAGCTTCATCAGTCAAGGAAACACACAACACAAAACTGATTCTTCCCCCAACAGCTTACTCCAAAGTGGAACAAACCAGTTATGTTGGTGCTACGATGGTCTCTTTGTCACGCCCCCTCCTCCATTGCCGGCCCTCTTCCTTGTTGACAGTCATGTCAAACTGGTTGAAAACAACAAAGTCCATGCTCAACAATCCAGGTATACAATCCAACATTTTTCAGTCAGGTCTACCAGAATGTTTTAGAAGACTTCATAATTCCTTCTGCTGAGGATCTGTATGGAGATGCAGATTTCATCTTCCAGCAGGACCTGACCCCTGCCCATGCCACCAGAAGCACCATAATCTGGTTTGATGCCCATGCCACAGTGCTTGACTGGCCAGCCAACTCGCCGGACCTAAACCCCATTGAGAATCTATATGGGGTGTTTTCAAGAGAAAAATGAGGGGCACCAGACCCAATAACAAAGAAGAGCTGACAGCAAGCATCAAGGAAATCTGGGCTTCCATAACTCCCAGGCAATGCCACAGGCCGATTGCCTCAATGCCACGTCGCATCGAGGCAGTGAATTCCCAAAGGGAAAGGGATTCCCAACCAAGTATTGAAGACTGATCGATTTGTTGTGATCCTAATTTCTTTCTTTTATTCTGCAAAAACTGAGTAGTGAGGGCTGATGTCTTAACAGTATTCATA